GGAGGACTGCCCACAAGACTGGACGAGAGACTGAAGAAACTTATGAATTGCTACATGACATTAATCTTTGGGATTCCCATGCATTTTCATGTTTCCTGCTGATACACCAAGTTCAAGTGCTTTTATCCTACTTCCCGACGGCAAATTCTTCTTGGTGTTTTTCTTTTCCAAGTCCTCAGAACCAAAAAAAACCCTCCCAACATCTTAGAACTTCTTACTTTACATTCCTCTATCCACTCTCTCAACATATAGATTTATATATCCTCTCCCATAAAACCACCTCCTTCTGGAACTCCTTACCCATTCTCATACGTCAAATCACTAGCATAAACTCCTTCAAACAACTCCTATTCCACCACTTACTACAAATTCAAACTTCCACAAGCTTGTAAGAATTTTTAATTTACGTGGATCACCAGCAGTTAATTGATAGGAGCCATTTTATTTTTATTTATTCATTATTCTTTTCTCTCTCAGTATTTCTTGTATATATTTGTATTTTCCTTAGAATTGTTTATAGATATTTATATTTTCCTTTGTAATTTGTATATATTTGTATTCTCCTTAGTATTTTTTGTATATATTTGTATGATATCTGCATACCAGACTAATTTACATATTTTTTTAACTCTACTATTATTCTAAGGGTTTCGGAATAAAATTATTTTTCATTTCATTACGTATAGAATGTATACAAGATCAAAAGTGGAGTAATATTTCATGGTAAACCTACGGTTATTGCGATAAACTTATAAAAGATATAATATAATATTATGTGAAATATAATTTTAAAATATAATAATGGAAGTTTTCATTGCTGTGAATACGATATATTTACTGATGTGAATACGAATCCAAATATTTGTATTCACAACTGCAATTATGAAATATTTGAATTCATGTTTCTTTATTTGAATATATTCATGGGTAATTAATATTTATGATTTATGAATATGTCGTTATGAAACATGTGATAAATTATACGATAATTAAACAATGTAATGTTTACAATACAAACCATAAGTTGTTTATTTTAAACATCGTATTAGTGTCTACCGCGAATGTTTTTACAGTATTTATTTTAAGTAAATATTTACAGCACATACTGTTAAGTTTGAACAAAAAATACCGACAAACCAGCTTTAAATATAAAAATTATGGTTTTCATTTCTTCTCCTATTATCTCATATCAGGGGATTATTAATGCGATAATTATGTTAAAAATTACTGGATATGGAAAGGAAACAATATTGTTTTGTCATTAATGTAGCAAAACTTCTAAATTATAACTTTTTTTTTTACTTTTGTTGATGCTAACGTAGCGTTTGCTGGTCCCAGTGTGCGGCACGAATTGTAATTTACGTATTGTAATAATAAAAAAATAAACTTCACAGACAAGGCAAAGCACATTTGGTCATACTTTGAACTTTGTGATACGATTATGAGATCAGTATGGGGCTAAATAATGGTCCATAAACTATCCCAGTCATTGTGGTGACTGCATTAGGGTAAGTAGGCACTGCCCAACCCGATTATATTCAAATCCTGCTCCCAAAGATATCCTTCGCCAAGGACTATTGCACACAGTTCGTTCCTCTCTGTTCCTTTTGAGAGCTCCGTCCTTATCTGCGAAAAAACAAAACATGAAATGTAGATTACAGGTCCGGACTTTAGCTTGCCTACTCGACAGAAAAGTCGCTTGATAAAAAAAATACTGAAAAAAAATATGAAACGAAATAGGTCGTTTAACTTATATTTATAACATAACTAACCTACTTCCTGAATTGAATGAAAACGTGCTTATTATCATAAAACAAATAGGTACAAAACATAATATTCATGAAACGTTACAATACGAAGAAATGGAAAATTTCATCTGTCGAGGTCCATGTGGTATTTCTGCAGAATATGTTCCATTTTATATTCTTAAAAAATTAATGAGCAATAATAGTTTTACAATGTTATTAATAACATTTTTAAGTTATCAACTCTTCAAAAAAATTATTTTTAAATAAACATTAAAAGTTTGTAAAACCTGACAACAAGTAATAATGATAAGTAGTAAATACCTAATTTGATTAAGTACGTTCAATAATATATCATAATCAATACAACAATTACAAACAAATAATATCTATTGAATATTTAATAGTAGACCGTTGCATTGAAAACGAAGGAAATGGTCCGGGGTGGAGGTCATAAATAGAATAAATAGTGACAAACCTATTTTATTAAAAGCCAACGTTTCGATCCGACTTTGCAGGTCTTCTTCATGGAGGTGTGTTCAGCTAGGAGTTTCATTTACAACTGAATTTAGAACTCAGAGTTCTAAGTGAAGCTCCTAGCTGAATACACCTCCCTGAAGAAGACCTGCAAAGTCGGATCGAAACGTTGGCTTTTAATAAAATAGTTTTGCCACTATTTATTCTATTTATGACCTCCACCCCGGACCATCTCCTTCCCAAATAATATCTATAATAAATGAATAAGCCTTACACTAATCACTTGCGAGCTGACTAGCTAAGCTATTTGCAATTTGGGTTGCTTTAGGTAATTACATAGGGCTTTCCAATTAGCACCTCTCAATATACTAAATAATTCCTCCGGCGAACATGTCTGCCAACCAAAATATTTTTCTCTAGTCTCACTGTAGACATGACAGGAGTTACAAACCGGACAATTATCATTACCCTCCTGCACCCACGGTTTAACACTTAAATTAAGTAATTTTCCTGCATCGAAAAGTCGACCTTTTCGATACAAGGTCAAAACTATCAATAAGATAAGGTGATACAGTGATGAATTCACATAAACCTGCGTATTTCCTGTTCCAAAAACAGTCTGATACCAGCTAACCATTAATATTATATATGTATTGTGTAGCAATCATATAATGATAACACTTGGTAAGAGATAGTACATGCATTTCCTACTATCGACGTAGGAATTTCAATACATACATTTTTTTTTTCATTTTTTTTTTTTTTATTCAATTATAAGTAACTGTTTATTTTTATATATATATTCAAGTAAAGTTTTTTTTTTTTATGAAATGAACTCATTGTATCTCTTTTTCGTTCTTCATTTCTCAAAGTGTATGTTTATGTTGTTCAACCCTTAAATATAATTTTGTTCATAGTTCAAGTGATTCGTTCATAGTTTTAATTGTTTTGTTCATAATTTTAAATGCTCTGTACATAGTTTTATCTGTATTGTATATAGCTTGTGCACCTAAGGTTTTCTTTACTTTTTATTTTATTTTATCAATTTTATTTATTGTTTCAACATTCAGGCCAGTAATATTCTATTATTTTGTACATTATTGTTATTCTGAAGGGACTTAGTCCCAGAATAAAGTTTTTTTTTTTCTATCTATCTATCTATATAGAAAAATTGGACTGCGGACATTTTTCGAGGTTGCGTTATTTTTCATATTCTTCAACCATATATTTAACTGCGGTCAAATTTACACGTAGCTCAGCAGTATTTGAAGTATCAAGCTTAATCTGATAAAATTCCACTAATTCCAACCACAATAAAAAACTTTATTTTTTATCACTTATTTGGTCAGAATATGAGGCAACTGAAATCAGGCATCCTCAAAACTTTTAAGTATAAGCAAAATGCATTTTCAGCGTGTAAGCGAATATAGAGGCAATACTCGTTCCATGCGCTAATATATAATTAGTTACATTCCTCGCATATACTCACTGAATTAATATATTGAATTATTATATTCAATATATCCTCTAAGTTAATTATTGAATTTCATATTTTTTGGTCATTTTGCATGTATGATAACCTAGTAAAATATAAATTAATAATTTAGGAGAAAGCTCAATGTTTCAATTTATATATAAATCACTATTGGTCCCAAGATCGGATAAAGTCAATAGCTATAATATTTAAAATGTTATTATAAAAGTCATAATTAAAATGTTAATAAAATTGGAAAAAGTTGATCAAGAAGAACTATTAATTCAAATTTAAAACTCTTCGACTTACCCTAGGCCTACCACAATATGTAGGCCACTAGCTAGTTAGTGCTCTTTCAGAATCAACCTTAGCCTTCGCCGAAGCTTCTGTTCTTCGGCAGCCATAGTTCAAGGCCTGCTGAGTCAGTTCTTGGGCTGTTGCTGTCGTCTGGGTTCACTGCTGGGTCTGAGGAGTGCTTCCTCATTAATTACAGCCTTCGGATATGTCGAGGAAGGCGGTCGTTGTTGGCCTCAGGGTTCCATAGGACAATCAGGCCATGCCCTCTTTAATGTTGACTTGAATTGTTGATTTATTTATATTTTATTTTTTAATTTAAAACATAATACAGTCATAATAACAAAAACTCGTTGAGCTATCGATTTACTATTTGTTCCATTCGATTCAGAATAAGAAAATAATTATCTGAGCTTCGATTAATCGTATTTCTGAGTTGGACGATTTTTTTTCCGAAAAAGTGTTTTGCACATTATTTCTTTTGTATATATTATATACTGTTATTTTTTTGTAAAATCACTGAAAATTACTCTTTAATTTGTGTTTTTAAGAGTTAAACGGGGGAAACTGGAAAAAATTGACCTACGTTTTAGGAATGTTAAGGAAAGATAATATAGTACGAAAAGTTTAATTGGAATACTTTAAGAGGTTTTTTCTCCTCTGAATCACTATGCGATAGTTCGAATCCGGCCTAGACGAATGAATCTTTACCTCCCCACTACGGTTTGGTTGTACCTCTGTAATGAATTCTTTTCCATATGCCAGAAAAACCTCTTTTTCAGTCTATAAAAAAATACGAAAGACTTTCTCCACTTTTTTGAGATTATATTTCTCTGAAGAAACTACAATTCAGTTCCAAACTGGTATTGAATCATTTCACTGCCTACCATATAGATAGTTCTGTTTGTTGGACAAGAGATAGCCGATTAAGATCTTCCATCTTACTTTTCTATTCCTTTATAATAAAGATACTTTAGAATATCAACTCTAACCTAACCTACCTGTTGCAGGCGAACTGGTTCCGGGCAGCGCAGTATTGCCGCTACCACGGCATGCACCTGGCCAGCATCTCCAGCCAGGAGGAGAACGACAAGCTTGAGGAGACCATCAGGGACTTTGGTGAGCTATAGCATTATTTTATTTTATTATTTATATATTATATTATATTATTATAATATATTATTCTCATAATATATTTATTTTTCTCACATTAGCGGATTTGAAGCTGAAGGTGGAGGATAAGTCCAAACACTAACAGATATACTTTATTTGTTTTCAAATATTTAAACATTTCTCGATTATTCTGGTTGTGTCCAGAAGAGCTGCTTGCTGAGTCTCTCTTAGCACGTTAAGGAGAAACTCCAAGCCATCGGTGACTGCCACGGTTGTCTTTGGAATCAGACCATTTGTAAATATTATAATTGGCGTTACCACTGCGCTCTCAAAATGGTACAAATCTTTTCTTTCAATCGCCAATTTCTGACATTTCTTGAGTTTCTCACGTGGGTTGACGTTATTTATGTTTTTGTCATTTGTAATCGCGACATCAATAATCTTGGCTTCTTAGTGCCAAAATTTATTATCACGATATCAGGTATATTATGACGCACTATGTCGTCCATGAGAATAAATTCGTCCCTATAAATCTTGAGGAAACCTTTATGAAGCAGCCTATTGGGATTATATTTATAATATGGCACATTTTCATCCAAAAGGATTATTTTATTATTATTAGTTTATTATTATTATATAAGTTTTCTAACCCAATATTCTTTACGTTATTCGAAGACAAAATTAGGTACTTCGTTATAATAATGTGATGTTATCCAGCCCTCCATAATTTAAACATCTAATACGTTAATTACAGACCTTTTAGATATTTTGCATCCTTCTCAGGGATATTTCTTTCTAGTTATCGCCATGCAGCTCTTCAACACCTTAGTTGATTCGATCTATCCATCTGGTTTTTGGCCTCCTACGTGACCTCTTACTATTGAGTCATTCATTGTTGTGTAGAGGCCTGATGGATTTCTCCAAGTTATATGTCTAGTCCGCCTTAACCTCATTGCCTTCATATCCTAAGATATTGATTGAGCATTTTCTGTTCATTATTGCTTATTCTCGTTTATGCGTTAGTAATCAGATCCTAGCTCGCTTCAGTTATTGTGCCGAGGATTTTTCTCTCAATTTTTTTCAATACTCCTTTCTCGAGTGCTGGTCGGTTTTGTAGGTTTCGCAGCCTTATATAAGAACTGACTTCATCATAGAATTGTATACCCTTAATTTGAATATTTATGAAAGAGAAGGAAAATCTCTGTTTGCTTTTGTTGTATTGTATTTGAATATAAAAGAAAATCATTGTTGTTGATTTTCAAGATTCACTACATGTGAAAAGTTCATTGAACATTGTTTACAATGGAATTGCTTTTCATAACTCAGTAATAATATCAAAGATATATTTAATGACTTGTAATAAGTAGCAAAATTAGTTTATTATAAACAGGCTTATATTTATACTTCATTGATAATAATGGAAATTAGTACTTTATTTGTGCAAAACTGGTGGAATATATGAGTTAACTATGTCCCACATTAAAAACATCGTAAATTCGAATTATCAGAACATATTGAAATTGGGGTTTCTGTCGCTTTCACGCCAGCCCAGTATTGTAAAATTATTGCAGAAAAGTGCCCTCTGGAAGTGGACATAGATCCGTCCAGCAATGTTGGCAGGTATTGCAGGTCTAGCTCTGCCATCTGTCAGCCGTTCCGGCACTCCCAAGTAATTGATACATCATAGATGACATAAATAATGTGAAATATATATATATATTTTTATAAGTCGAAACTTCTTGGGTACATTTTGCACTTTTTTTGTAGGTAGTGAATTAGATTGAGCAGTCAGGTCTTCGATGTATAAGGCTCGGATAAAGGCAAATGGAGTCTACTAAGTGAAGTGTTCATATCAGTTAAAATATCTCAAAAACTAATAATCCCACCTGCATATTGTTAGCGAGAGAAATGTTCATCATTTCATCTTCTTTGTAATGAGCTATTATTCAAAATTGTATCATAACGCGACGCCGTATTGGAGAGGCGGAAAGAAAAAATAGTTTTGAAAACCAAATGAGAACGAGTTTTAATTGAAGATGTGCATTAAAATATCTCAGAAACTAAAAATCGGACATGCATACTGTAAGTGAGGGAATTGTTCGTCATTCTAAACTCTTTATAACAAGCTATTATTTGTAAGTTACAATTTATATTTCATATTATTAATCGCTTTATTGATGTTTTCACTTCTATCGTATTACCTAAAGCACACATTTTAGTTGTTTTTTTTATATTCACAATGTAATAACATTTAAAATATATACAAAAATATTTGTATATAAACCATTTTTTGTTCTATATCCACAAAGTAATAATATTTACATAATACACAATTATAATTGTTTATAAATATTTATATATTTGTATGCAATGAGACGTCAATTATTTTAAGACAATTATGCTATATTGATACTTTTTTTCAATAAAAGTTCTCTAACGAGAATCAGTTATTTGTCGAAACACTAACGAGTGCAACAGAAAATCGAATAGAAACACTTTATTTATTATTTTTATGGCTAATGTATATATATATATATATATATATATATATATATATATATATATATATATATATATATATATATATATATATATATATCTGTATTCACTTTTGAAAATCGTTTATGAATTATCCACGGTATTTAAATTTTGAGATATTTTTAGTCCAAATGTTCAAAACAGTCGTTATTATTTGTTTTGTTTTTGGGGCTCTTTTTCCCCTTTCCGACTCTTTTTGTTCCCCTCACGTCAAAATACAATTTTGAATAATGTAATAGCTCATTACAAAGAGGATGAAATGCTGAACGTTTTCCTCGCTAACAGTATGCAGGTCCGATTTTTAATCCAAATTCAAAAATTAGTGAATCGAGCCTTCTTTACCCGAATTAGCGTTGCATAGCCGATCGTGGGTCTCATTCAAAACCCACAAAATAAAGTACTAATGGCGCCTGAAGTTTTTACTTCAAAAATGCTTAAATAACTTTAACTTTATTATTCTCCGTAAGCTAGAAACTTTCCTCTTGATCTTGTTCTCACTTTCCTCTTCCCTTCGCTTCGATCTCCCGGAAGGTCTTCTCGTGCCGAAGGCTGCCTTCGTCCAATTTATCTAAATGATAATCTCTTATGTTGTTCAGCTAAGACAATGACATCAGATCGGAAGTTGCAACGTAAGTGCAACCGATTGCTGGGCAATATCAAGGAGGCAATTCAGTCTCTCTTGGTGCAGTTGGATTCAAAATATCCTTTACCGCAATTCATATATGTTTATTTATTTAATTAGAGAAGGAATAAATTATTTCATAAGTTAATTAAATTTTCAAAATTGTAACCGTTTCGAAGGTTCAGAATCTTAGTTATGAGCACATTGAGTTTATCGATGGCATCGGAAATCTATCATATTGTTCCTAAACTCATTGATGGGAAGCTTCGATGGAATTCGACACATTTATACATCGATTGATTCACCTATAGCTCAGCGGTTCCATCGGTTTTTGGATTCAATGCAAATACCATCATCTTTAGCATTTATATATTTCATAATGAATTTTATAATTTATATACATTTTAATGTATTATTAAATAATTATTTATATAGAAATATAAACCATACTTTTTTAAACATTAAAATTATTCTTTATTATCATTGGCAACGTTAAACAATGAAAAACATTGTTGGGCATACAGCAACAGTATCAAATGGATGACAATACGATAGTGCTTATTAAGGATATCCTCTAAGTAGAGAGAAATATTTAAAAGAGTAATAACAGAACTTGAGAGATATAAAAAAGTTTATCTAAACAATTGTCCGATTTTCAGCAGAATTGTAAGAAATTTATGTTCTGTGTTTTTTAAGCGTCACGTTTTTTGTCGAATAGGAAGCTATAACTAAAAGAATGTTTGATTTAAGAAATTAACTATTGCTTCACAGTAAACTGGACAAAATTTAATTCAAATGAAATCTATTTTGTCATTGTCGAAACCATTTAAAGAGGACTTCTGAGCGACCAAACTAAACTAACTTCTGTGTTTAAAAAAAAATCTTGTTTTTCATCAACCTTCGACTTCATCGTTTAATTATCTTTAAGTCGGCATAAAATAAAAGTTAAACGAAGTATCACCCACCAAGTCGTAGTACTCGTAAAAGACTTGCGGCTGGAACATTACTGCTTTTTTCCAATCTATTTATTTACATTATATTTCAATAATACATTCACACTGTTAATATCAACAGAAAAATAATATATTCACTTTATATTTTGGAAATATATTGAAATTGTTTCAACAAACAGAAAAAAAATATTTTTTCACGAAAATGTACAATAATTTAATTTTTTTTACGATAAATTCATCAAGATTAGTAGAACCCTGTGATGCTTCAACCCGAGCCTTGGAGGTTAGAGGTTTAAAGGCTCTAGAGCCGAACCTTCACGACTCGATCATTCGCGACTCGAATCGGAGTTCGAGGCTTGTTCTTACAACACTAATTAAGACTACTCAGTAGGCTGGATGTTTTAGTAACTCAAAGCAGTTTAGTAGCTATACAGTATTATTTTAATTCTCTTTTCTGGTGAAAATCAGGCGATTGTTTCTATTAACTTTTTGTAGATCTTGAGTTCATATATCCTTCTACTTAGTGGACCCCCCGTATATACAACAAAGATGCCGGTTTTTGAACCAGGTTTAGCAAACATGTCAAAGAATATTTTAAAAACTAAAACAATTTTCTGTTTATTAAACCGTGAATTGAGTATATATGTTTTATTTCATTTATAATCTTTATTTTTCTCAATATTTCATTCCGAGTGCGCGTGTGCCTTCACAAACAGTTGAGAACCGTTTGAGTAGAGTAACCATCCCAATTTATTCTCAGTGTTTCAGCAATTTGTATCCATAAATTATATTATCTGCATCACAAAATAATTATTTATTTCTGATTATGAAATACTTCCTTGATGGTTGAATTCAGGAACCGATTGACCGATGTGAATTCGCCCTTTCTCAAGAGCTATTTAGCAGCGCATAGACATTAGTGGATCTCCGAATATAATTGACCTCCACGATGTTGGAGAAGTACACTCGTGAAAGTGGTTAAGGTTAAGGGGAGCATTGAGGTTTGGCAAGTGGAGGATGTTGCACCAGCGTGTTGCAACTGTCTGCACTCTTTATATCCCATCATTTGATCAAGTGTCTGTGGCAACTATCTTGAATTCAATCCTGCAATCATTCACATAAATTATTAGGTATTTATCAATGAAGTCAGCACCTATAATAATACGCTATATGCAAATCCTTCAACAACAGCGATGAATCAATTTACTTAGATTATTTAAAATTCATATTCTCTTTGTATTTATTTATTGAAATTTGTGACTGTATAATTAAAATACAATAAGTAAATCTGCTCTAAGAATATATAATATGAGCTTGGAATAGACTGAGGGAGCGGGGTAGTTCAGCTCAGTTGGTTAGCACTGACTTCCTAAGCTCAAGGTCCATGACGAGTAATTTTCATCAGTCGTTGATGCTTTGGGGTTGGGAGACTCTCCTGGGAGGCTCTAAGAAGTGGGTACTATTAATTAAATAATTAATTAAGGGGGAAGCGTGGCGGTTGACAGTGATCCCGGCCCGATCCTTGCATAAGCGTTGGCAAGAAAAAGTACTTCCTTACAAAGTGCTGAACACAAGTTACTTCATGAGTTGTACTGGTACAGGTTTTCTTTTTTTTTTTAAAGAGGCTACCCATTAGTGGAGCTTCCATGATTGTTTTAATTAAGCAGGTCTCTTCACAATATTTTTTCCTTACTGGTTTTTCAGGAATAGTTTTGGATTAAAAATGATGAACAAGGGGGTTTAAGTGACCAAGCAGTTTGATATTAAAGGAGAAATGTCTATTTCGGGTGAAGTATCAAATAAATGGGATGAACACCTAACCACCCCTAACCCTACATGAACCAAAACATTTATTTTATCAAATTTAAGTTACAAGTATCAATAATTGGTAATTTGTCAATGATAGCTGCCTTTACCCTATGGGATCTTGTTTTTTTTCTGCCTTTATAATGCCTGAATTGGCGAACGATTGGCAAGTAAACTGTTTACCTGTATGTTGGAAATTCATGGCTTTATAGTATGTATTCTTTCTCCTTAGATTTTAAAGCCCTACCATTTTGTGATAGAAAGGTTCAGAAGCTCTGTATAATATTTCCTAATTCACATTTTTATACATTGTATAAACTGACAGGCAAAAAATTCCACCCACTTGTAAAAAAAGTTATATTTGTATATAATACATGGTATTTGTAGATAATACTTAATATTTATGGAATTTTATAATCTTTTTTACCTCCGATGGCATTAGCTGCATATCTAATGGAACGTCCATCATCAATAAGTGCCACACCACGCGCAATATCCTCAGCACTAAGAGGCATTTTTAAACTTAATATTGAAAAAATTAAAAGCCGGAGACTAAGAAATGTGCTGCAAGAAACGGCACTGAACTGATGATACTGAATAAACATTTTGATTCCATAGAGAGTAAACTTTGGAATCTAGAATCATTTCATTGAATTAAGGATTAAGGGTTATTGTCCTCTATATTAACATTCTTAATTGAAAATAAACAAAAAGATTACCTATTTATTCATTAAAAACAATAGACCAATCCAAAGCAGAAATATTTTTAGATGAAAACATGAAAAAATCAAGTGGGTGGAATTTTTTGCCTGTCAGTGTATTTAATAAAAAATTGATTGTTGATATTATTACTCTACACTTAATATTAACTCACCTTCAATGTTATAGGTTACAGCTACGAACACTTCTGGGTCTCTGGTACCGACCTGGCGGAGGAAGGACAGTTCTTCTGGATGTCGACTGGGAGACCGATCACCTTCACGAACTGGAACACCGGAGAACCGAACAACTTCAGGTACGAGAACGGGGAAGAAGAGAACTGCCTGGAGCTGTGGGACCGGGATGGCAAGGGGCTAAAGTGGAACGATTCGGCGTGCAGCTTCGAAACCTACTTCGTCTGTGAGGTGGCCCCTTAGTGGCATTCCACTTCGTCTGCGAGGTGGCACTCCACTTCTTGCGGGCACTACCTCATCCTCTCTCCCAGCTCTGGTCGCGTCCACAAACTTCGCACCAACGCCCTCTATTCACATCGATCAAATTTAATTTATCTACAAACATTTTATTGTTAGAATACTTCAAACAAAGCCTTGAAGATTTCCAAAGTTTCGCCAACACAGCCACCATCAAAACTTATACCAGAGATAACCTACCTCACGTGAGGTTCATTTTAACATGAGAAGCTCTGATTATCAGTTTTTAGTTTCGAAATAATATAACCTAAATATCTTTTGTTTAAGCAAGAAACCGGTTACCTCAATGCCAGAGGTGGGAGATGGGACACAAGTTATTAATGAATTTTACTTCTCAAACATACAGTGTAGATTTTGCAATTGTCATTGAAGTTCATAAACAACCAGAACATTTAAAAAATTAGCAATATGGTGTTTTCACTCTGTATATATTTATGTATGTTGTGTAAATTTGTAAATTAAATATCTTATTAAAATAATTTTAATAGTTAAGCTGTAATAGAAACATTAGTCATGTACGATTGCGCAAATGAAACTAAATAGGGACCTATTATGGTATTTATCAAGTTTCATTATATTTCATTTATCTTATTAATACATTATTTATATAATATAGTCTTTATAAGGCGGTAAATCTTTTTTTTATTATTAAATGTAATCTCATAATTTTAACTACGGTTATATTTGGGTTTTGACTATTTGGGCAACTTATAAAAAAAAAATATTTTTCTGATTTATTGGATTTCTACGTTTTTACGTTCTTCACTCAAATTAGTTTTGTTTAAATTGGCCATTGATCTATGTTATGGTCAAGTTTACATATTTTAAAATTTCTAATTTAGATAACTACGTATTCGAATACGCTTAGCTATATTCTAACTCGAAAGAATAATTAAAGGACAATCCATTAGTATTCAATTTATTTCTTCGATATAATATCTAAGAATTTCCGCATTGTATTTTATTTTGATTTATAATCTAATTGCTTGTTTGTAAAAATTGTTGTATATGAAAAAAAAATTTCATTCACTTTTAAATTTTAGAATAGCGTATTGGCATAAAATACGTTTGAGAGAAAAGAGAAACTTTTTAAAACGAATTAATTGGAATCTGAAGCATTTAAAATTATATATTACAGGAGGAAAGTGAGATTGCCATAGAATTATATAACCTATCACTCTTGAAACGGGAAGTTAAAAGGTGATATTTTTTTCAGTTTGTGCTCTGCCTTGATTTGAAGTTTCTTCAGATTTTGGAAAGCCTATTTAAGTAGTTCAAGCAAACCAAATTCATATTTCGACTCATTATTTGTTATTATACTTTAATTAGAAGTACAATATTTTGTTTACTGAAGCCATCTTTGCAGCAAGGACTAGACAACCATTAAACGATGTTCATTTGATACCAAGATTTGTATCAACATCAGTGTCGCCAACTGAAAACAGTTTCTTGCCAAAGAATTTGTATTTTCGTTTAAGTAAATGAATTAAGTTATTGAATTGTGAATTCAGAGAAGCCCTTATTGCTATCTATAACCAATGATTAATATTTTCAAAGTTATTTTTAGACTTGAAAACTTTTACTCATTTTTTTTTTGGAAACAGTATCTATTATACAATTTTAGGAAGACTAGGCTATTTGTTGACAATTATTTAAATTTAAATATAAACAAAAAATAATGATTTTCTTATTTTTTCAAATAAGTAATAGTTTACAAAAGGGCTTCCTTATATATATAGATATGTAAGTTGGTATTTTGATTTTGCCAACATTTTTTTTTCTCTTGTGATTTTATTTAAGTGATTATAATTTCATAACATATTAAGGTTTTACCAATTAGTTATATAAGACATTGATTATCGAGACTAAAGTCAATAAGTTTATTTTTTAATTATTGTAAATAAACTTTTTAATATTTTTTCATGTTTGTATTATTTTTAACTCCTCAAGCACAAACCAACCCCACAATATATTATACAAAATGTATTTTTCCATTATCATTAGAAATAAATATGGATCAATAAATAAAAAATTATTTTGAGAAGAGAGGAAGAGAATTCACCCCAAAAACACCATCCCTTAGTTCCTCCAGTGCTTTAAGTAACAAATAACAACTTGTTAATGAGCCTAAGCAAATAATATGGAAGAATATATACCTCTTATTTACTTGATTTTTTAAATTAATTTAATATTCAGTTAGCTAACTATTCAACATAACATTAAAAATAATACACATGTTGATAGAAATAGTTTACATGATTAAAACATTGTCCTTTTTTTCTAATTAAAATCTATGTTTTATTTTACACCTGGAGGATCCACCAAAGAAAATTGTTTTATATTTTCATATTGTTGTGGTATGTTCAGAGACCAATGCAGGCTGACATATTTTTTTCTACATCTTTGAGGTAAAGTATAATATCAATTAAAGATGAGAAATGGCCACCGTAATGAATTTAATAAAAAATATTATTGATGATAGCTCCACACCGAATATATTGAATTTTAGATTCAGTAGGACTTGTAGCAGAACAGATGATTTTTGGATAATGTTTACCTGTGTGTAAGACCAGATATGGGCGACATCGGAATCAATGATCACATGATTCCAACTGAAAATAAAACTTAATGACCACAGCCAATTTTATATTTGATTCAATATAGCAAAAATGTGACATGATTACCTGATTAAGATCATAATAAGTGACAAGATCACTGTCAGTGCTGACCTTAGCTGACTTCAGTGCTGAAAATTAAATTTATTTCTTAAGCTGTTTTATATTATACAGTATTTGAATTTTATTTCATTCAATATTTCTGTATTACAGTTGTATTATTAACAGGCTAAAATTAATTATTTGAATACCTCTTGTAGATTTTTTTAAATTTCTAACAAATGGCGAGCACCCCTGACGATAGGTCCCACCAACATGCGCGTCTTCAGGTAAGCACCCAGAGGCAACTGCCCCAGTTGCTTCTCCCTAAGGCCGACACTGATCACTGTAATCTTAATCACATAATCATGATTACTGTAATCACAATTGTTAATCATGATTATGCCCATCCATGTTTTTTTTCTTCTGTTGGCATTACAGACCGTGTAGATCTTTTGCTGCCTTAACAAGCTTGCTCCATCTCTACCTGTCTTTGGCTATTTCTTTCTATTTATCTGCACACAACTCTATTGCATCTTTGTTGATTCTATCTATCCATCTGCTTTTTACCCTTCCACGTGATCTTTTGACTTTTATTGAGAAATTCTTTGTTATGTAGAGGCTTCCAGATGGATTGCTACAAGCTACATGTCCCACCCATCTTAACCTTCATGTCTTCATCACGGGATATTGATTGACCAGTTTCTGTAAGCAGTTCTTTACTGGTCTTTCTTCTCCATTGTGTTAGTACTCTGATCCCAGATCAATCCGGTTATCGAGCGAAGAATTTTCCTCTCAAATCCTTCAACACTTTTTTCTAGAGTGCTGGTTAGTGTCCACGTCTCACAGACATATATTAGAACTGGCTTCATCATAGCATTATATACCCTTAGTATGAGATTTCTTGAGATTTTTCTGGATTTCAATACTTTCAAGGAGAAGAAAGCTCTGTCTGTGCTAGTTATCTTCTTTTTTTCTTATTCAATAATCTCTTCTATCTTTCGGTGTAGAGATTCTTGCACAAGTATTTCCATCCGCCTCTGTCGGGGGCTGCTCTCCTGGCTTCCGGTCATTCCATTCCTTTAACTTCAAGAATATTTCTGAGATTATCCTACCAAGTAATTCTTTGTCTTCCTCTAGGTCATTTTCTCACTAGTTTAGCCTCCATAATTTTCTTTGCTGAAAGGCAGTCATCCATCCTCATTACATGACCGAACCATCGAAGCTGACCTTTCTCTATTATCTAGTAGGAGTTCAGTTTTAAGTGTAGTGCATAACGCTGTGATTTCGTATCCGGTCTTTCTTGGTCTTTCCCTCTATTTTCCTCAGATATCTCATTCCATGGTTTGGAGGCGGCTGTTATCACGTTGCTTTAGAGCCCAGGATTCACTTCCATAAGTGAGGATAGGGACGAACATAGAGCGATAGACAGCTAATTTTGTTACTTTTTCCACTTCTCTCTTACTTAAAAACTTCCTATTGAAGACAGAAAATATCCTTCCTGAAGTGGCAACTCTCGTATTAATTTTTTCTCTAATTTTCACAATCTTACTGATTGTCATACCCAAATACTTGCAACGTAGGAACCTGCTCTATTATCTCCTCATTAATATTAGGATGCACTAGTTATACACTGATTTATTTCTGCCCGTTGGTCATTCATTGAGGTTATTATGGAGCCAAGGTATTTGAATTTTTCTACTCTCGGGAATGATTTTCCTTATATGCAGAGCCTGTTATTGGGGTGGAATTTTCGGCTTATTATTGGAATTTACTTAATCATGAAACCAATTAATTTTTTTAATTAGTCTAACTATACTAAAGATACAATTAGGAACATAATTCAATCCATAATTAATGTAATATGTTTCTGAGCTATAACTGTTTTATATTAATATTATTTTATTATTTTCATTTTTATTGTAGTTCACTATTATATTATTAATATTAATACAATTATTAATAATTTTCTAATATTGTCGGTTTATGGCAAAAAAATATTAAATAAAATTTATAAAACTAAATACCAACTTTGATGAATATTCTCTCTGTGAAATCAGAAAATTTTTCATGTGAAGTAAATATATTTGATACACAAAGGGTTTCTATTATTTTGAAGTACTTCTTATGTTTTTGCATCAACAAATAGGATCAAAATTTACAAAAACATACTTAAAAGTTCAGTTTTATTAAAAATGTGCTTAGCAGCTTTTACAAAAAAACTGGTGATGTATAATCTAGAATAATTGAGATTGTGATGGCCGAGTGTGTTGGAGCATTGCTCGTTCTAGCATCCTCGTGCCTAGCAATGCAGGTTCAAATCTGGCCTGGGAGGGGTTGACTTTTATTTCGTGGCGGACGCAGGAAATGAAACTTGACCATCCCACTCTGGTTAGAATAGGATCGGTTGTACCTCTAGAACAACTCCCCAATATGCCAGAAATGGTGGGTAGGAGGTTAACCAATTAAAAAAAAAATCTAGAATAAATGAATTTAGCACAATGCTTGTTAGTGGATAATTATGCATTAAAATAAACAAATTTCTAAACCAAACAAACAAAAAATTTACCTTTAAATGTTGTTTCGATTGGATTCAGTAAAACAATAAGCAAATCAAATAAGTATCAATAATATTTATTCATAAATATATTTAATACATAATAACATTGGAATACTACATGTGATTTTAAAAAAAAAAAACCTATAGGAGGAAGCATATATATTGATAGTATTAATTCAAACATAGTTCGTACAAAATAATAAAGATATTAGATATCAATATTTTAGACAAGATAATGATCACATAATTTACAAAAAAAAAATCTTACTGCTTTAAGCATATGGGTAAATAAACATTCTTAATTCCAATAAATCAGGGAAAATGAAAAAATATTTAACATCAATTCCCTCTTCTTCAATATAAAATCAGTCATAATAGTCTACCCTTGAGTAAGGTGATAAGCCTGCGGAAATCAAATCAACTAATTTCTTAACTGTCTCATGAGGCTTCAACAACTTTACTTCGTCTCTCATTTTAACAAAACTTGATTTAGTCTCATTGTTTGATACATTTTCAATTAGTCTCTCCACCATGGAAGTATCTACAGGACCTGAAACAATCATGTACGGTTAATAGGAAATATTAACATCATGCAAATACACTGAAGTAAATTCTAAAAAAATATTACAGATTCTAAATGAATTGACATATTCCCTGAATTTTGGTATAAAAAACAACCATATGCAAGAAGTACGGTCAGATCGAGTCATATGAAACATAAACACATAAACATAATTAACTTTCTTTTAGATTAAGTTACTGGTACTGGTATTAATGGATTCAGAATGAAAAGCTCTACATTCTCTTAGGAAGTTGGAATGCTAACAAATAATTTCAATAAAAAATATCGGATTATTTTTTTTAAAAGCCAACTCAACAGCTGCAAGAATATTACTTTTTCTTACGAATCCTCTAATTTATTTTAATAATTAACTTTATTTACTTCACAATATAATTGCAACTGCATTGTAACACATCAAGCAATGTGTTGGTAAATGTCACATTGTCTGCTCTTGACATTCATATTGTGAACAGGAGATCTCTGGGACTTTTTAGTCTTCGTTGAGGCTGACCAGATAATATGGAGGAAGAAAGAGTGAGGACAATTGTATTTGGATAATTAAGAGTTGAGGAGTGAAATGTGGTGTATTTTTACATATTACATAAGTACATGCACTTATTCTCCGATTCTTTGTTCTTCTTCATTATAAGAGGTTGAAATGATCTACTCCTACTAATCCTTTCCACCCATACATGAAAGCTTCGTAATACAGGTAGTAGTTATTGCTTACTAACTGAGGGAATTCATCCATGATGTAGAGTCCAGTTTTCTTATGGCTCTTTTTGTCTCTAAACTGGTGCAACTCGCAGTGACATGCTCAGCAGTTTCCAGAACACCACAATAGGAAAATAGAGGTTATTCTCTTCCCTAGGAATGAAATGAAAAAGGCATGAGTCTTGTCATGAAACCCTCCATATCCTGTGAGGAATTGACACCCAATAATCAGAGAGGACACATTTTGCTTCCAACTGCGAGCTAGAGCCTTTATGAGTAGTTACCCACCGTTGATTTCACTGCTCAATGGTGTCCTCCTGTATTATTCTTTTCCATTTAGAAGGATCTGCCGCAATCCTTTCTAGGAGATTTTCTGGAAGATTAGCTGAGCCTTCTTTCTTAAGATAGGAACCTCCTGCTAAAACCTGGATTGCTTCATAAGCAACAGTCCTGTAGGATTTTGTTACTTGCAGCCGAGCCATCCTCTGGATTGTTGCCAATCTGCTCTTCTCTAGTTGCAAAAGGTTTCCATCCCAAACTGTGGACGCCTACTTCAGGATACGTAGTACTACTCCTTTAGTCATTACTGCCAGGAACCTGGAGCCCCAGAAGGCACCCCAATATGACTTTCATTATGGGCTAGGGTCACCTTATTTTTCAGGTAATCCAAGTGAGGAGTAACATTGAATCTTCTACCCGAACCTTACTCTATCCAAGGTAGGTTACTTCCTCACTCGGACATCCTTATTGCTTGTATATTCATGACAGTAGGGTGGGTCCTAGCAGTTGCACCCTTTAGAGGTATTACTTAGGTTTTAGCACCTCCCCTAGATTTTCATCCTTTTCCCCTCGCACAATACACTGACAAGATTGGCACACCTTTCTGCTTCTTCTTTCAAGCTGGATCTGCAGCTGGAAAACAACACTACGACCAAGTCGTCGACATAGGTCTTAGCAGGGAACCACTCATCTTCGAGCAATCCTAGATCAACTCATAGAAAACTCATTTCCAAAGAGCAAGTACAATGACAGAGCTCTGCGGGCATCCACTTTTCCGCACTTTCTTCGACTTCATAGAAGTTACCTCGGATCCTTACTTTTCGATCCTTCTAGGTAACTTCTCATAAGGTCATACAAATGCTGGGGGCCGCGAATCTTTGTAGCTGCTGTAGAACATTCAGCCACTTCAAGCAATCAAAGGTGGAGCGTATTTCAAACAAAAGTAAAATGGCATACTTCTCCTCAACATCATGGTGTACTCGGAGCAAGCATCGGCAGTTGCCTTACTTTTGGTGGATCAATATTACCGTGAATGGCTAGCTCTACCTATTGTCAGTTGCAGACTGGTTAGTACTAGGTACCCTAAGACCTTGCTCAACTCAGGGAGGAGACAGATTAGACTGCATGACTTAATGAGTTGCTTATCTCTGTCAAACTGTCGAAAATCAAAAAACCTTTAAATCAGTCTAAATAATAAATGATTATTTTTTTTAGACTTAAAATTTGATGTTCCTCAGTTAATTTTTTCCTAACTACTATTTAAAGCAGTACTGTCAGATCCAGTCCAATTTATCTATACACAGGTATAGTAATTTGGTATAGATCATTAATAGATATAATTTGGCACCTTGTAACACTGATATATGTTTACCGACACACCGTTAATATACCTCCCGAGTGCATTATCCTACAGTCCAGGTGGCCTATACATACATAAATTAGATTGTAGAATTGCTGATGATCTATCAATTAATCACTAATAATTTTATATATATATATATATATATATATAAAGAACAATAGTTTATAGTTTATTTAAATGCTCAAAATGTTTTTATTCTTTTCCATTACAGCTGAAATTCTCATAATCTTTTTCCCATGAAAGTAAGTGAGATTTCACCTCTTTTTGCTAAGTTTATTTAATCCTCAGTTCAGTTTCATGTTTTGCGAGTTGAAGACAATTTCTGTGTATAGATTTTTAGCTTATTATGAAATCAATTTCTGTGGGATTACATACTTGGCATTATCGACCATTATAAAAAATAAGAATTTAATAGATCCAGTTCAACTTCATCTACAAAACTCTTCTCACAAGCGGCTCAGCCTGCTTCAGAGGAAATAATGCTTTTGTGATTCTAACGAATAAGAGCTTCTGAAACTTCTGCATCAACTCAGTTGCTTAAAAATTTTTATCTATAATATTAAGCTACAATTTTTTATCATATATTACAGGCTTCATTATAATCAACTGATGATTTTATGGACCCTTTGACTGGATGCTCTCACAGTAACTGCACTCTAATTAAAACAGTACTGTCAGACCCATTTATATTTTTATACATGCAGGTACAATACTTATACTTTAGTACATATCTTAGGAATAAGTAAAATATTAAAGAAGCTTCTTCAATAAACATATCAAATCAAAGTTTAACTTTTTTAAAAATTTAATTACAATGCGTTCGAAAAGTTTGAGTTTTAGTCAAAAATTTCTGTGATTTTTCAAATGAATTATTAAACAACCTCCCAAAGGATGTTTGTCGAGAATATTGAAAATATATTAAATTAAAAAAGATAAACTTTAAACGTTACATTTAAAGAAGGAATTGAGAAATTAATTTATCACCTGGAGAGTAGCTAAGAATCCTAAGGGAGGGAGACTCAGTTGACAAGACCTTCAAATACATTTCCCTGGCAGCTTTACCCACTCCGTACTGTCCCAACCCAGCTATCACCTGGATTGCTGCCAGAGAGGTAATATTAACAATAACGATCTTGTCATCCTGTTTGAAAGCTTTCAAGAACGATGAAGTCAAAGTGGCCATTGAATGAAGATTAATAGTCATATACCTAAAAAATATATATTTTTAAGAACATTTGATTAAGAATTCTTCGACATCCATTGCATATTTTACTCTGAACCAAAATTAAATAATTTGAGAAATTGTGTAGTGAAAACAAGCAGGAAAAAAATATGACAGTGAGGAACAAAGCCTCACGGTTGTGAGACAGTGGTGAGTAGGTATGGCGGGGGAAGCTGAGCGTAGCGGAGCCAGCTATTAAAACCGAACCCCGGTCGAGCCTAAGCTGAGCTGAGCTGACCCTTGCTATGCCGCACAATTCATTAAAAACCTTTGGTTCGGTTTCGGAAGCTGACTCAACTACGCTCAGCTCAGTTCTGCTACACTTTCTGTGGCCAGTCTGCCTTATAGTAATACTGTAAAATAATCAATACTTACGTGCTCCATTGTTCAGGATCAGAACATTCTCTTATTGGACAACCAGTGCCTTCACTAGCTGCATTATGTACCAATAGCAACACATCAAAATCATTTGGTGAAACCTTTTTTAGAACATTGGAAAAATCTTCCTCTTTTGGCTTTGACATATCATATGGAAATAACTGTAAAAGATCATAACAATCCAATTATAAGAGTACATAAACACCACATTAACACTTTCAAAAAATTATTATATAATATAGAAAATAAAAATATATTTTGAATGAATATCAAAATAAAAATCCATTTTAAACAAAATTGATCATTTAAATTGTTTGTATAATTTCAATGATCGAGATGAAATAATGATTTAAAAATATTCTAAATAAAATTAGCTCTCGGTGGAACCTGTCCACTAGGGAGTGCATCCTCTGAGTGGCGGATGGGGGATCCCTCTTAGGAAGGGTGGTCTGAATTTACAGAATAAAGACCCGTGGACCAACAGGTAGCCAGCGCTGAGGGGTATAGCCCAGCCATCCTTTCTCCTGAGGGGACACAAATATTTAGGAGACCAGTTGTCCTGAGGAAATGGGGTCTCCATCGCTAGGCTAATAACCCGCATGGTAGTATATTCTATTCAAAGTTAAAAAAAACAGCCTCGGATGTGGACAAAATAGGAGTGCTCCACAATTTCCTATAAGGAGTATATGCAGCGGATTGGAGAGAAGAGAGGCAAAACCCTTCAGGAAATAAGGTGGCTTAGTAGGGACCGAAAGGCTTGGCTGCATTATATAATAATGAAGAGGAAGATAAAGAAGAAGAAATAAAATTAGTCTCTAAAAAATGGTTTAAGTTTAGTTCAGGGATGGAACTAGCCATATCAAGTGAGCAAAATTTCTATGTTATATTGTCATCAAATAATAATATAATGTATAAATAAATAAATGAAAGTGTGTATTAATAAACATATTTTATGCTGAAAAGAAGTAATAAATATTAATTATAGTTAACATTAATATTATATATTGTTAATATTTAACACTATCATGATGTACCTACAAGTTTAATTGTAAAATATTCAAAAAACAGGTATTGTCTTCGGCTGATATGAATTTGTTTTTAAAACGTCTTTGAAAACAATGTTAGAAATGATAATGTATATCATCATAACAATTACAATTCTGTTCAATTTCTTTCACATAAATATGAACAACGTTGAATATGAGAGGGAAACAGAAATAAATGAAAAATAATAAGTGTTAATTCATTGTAGTTGGGTCATTGATTGCGCTATTATAAAATATGGAAATGGCGTGAACACATCCAAATTCCAAAGTTTGTTTACGGGAAGTTTCATGTAAATTGTTAAATTATGGGGGGAATTTTAAAAGAAATATTAACTTTTAATTATTTGTTTATTTTTTGTCATTAGCAATAAAGATAATCTTTAAAAATATGGCTCAACTATTGATATTGAAGATGTATCAAGAGAAACGCATATAATTAATGAGATAATAGAATACAAACCTCAACATTTATTTCTGGAGCAACTTGATTGATTAAGGCTGATGTTCCTTTAAGACCCTCAATTGAACGAGCTGATAACAGTACGGTTGAACCTGGTAATAATTTTTCAGCAAACTGTTTAGCAATCTCCCTGCCAATTCCTTGGCTCCCACCAGTTACCAGGCAAAATGTCTTCTTTCCCCAAATCTCAGTCATTTTCTACTTCTAAAACAAATCATAAATTCAAAAATAATTAAAAGGCATTAATAATTCATATATTAAAATAATGAAAATTTATAAACTGAATTATGGAATAGAAATAAGTAAAGAACTATAGTGAACCATCTTGATAGAAGATATCTCCTGGCATAATATAAATAACACACTGGAAGAAGTTAAATCAAGTTCAAGAGCAAAAAAAGTTTTTGAATTACTTTTAAATCAATTTTATTTCTGGAATACGTGTAGACATTCCTACCACAGCTTTTCCATGTAACGAGTTTCACATTTGTCTCAGTCACAAGTTTGAACATCAAAAAATACTACTGGTTTTCTTGATTCTTTTCTTTTTTAACGATTGAAGTGCTATTATTAAGAAATTGTGGAAAATTTGAAATAAGTGCTTTACCTTTGGTTTCGGAATCCTCAGATGATTTGGCCAAATAGTCTTCTTTCACAAGGCTTAAGAGCTCTCCAACAGTGAGGGGTTGTTCAGGATTCAGATAGCTTCGCAACCACTTGGTTGGAATATCTTCATCAGAAAAGTACTCAGGAAGTGATTGATCACTCTCAGTCAGTAATCGAACAACTGTATCAGTCTTTCTTTCCTCTAAGCTTTCTAGTAGTTGTCTGTTTTCACCTGATTTAGTTTTCCCAAGCTTGGCTAGCTTCCTTTCTGAAACATGACCCTCAGGATCAAGTATGTTATATAACCACAAGAGCAAAATAAAAAAAAAGAAGAAGAAGAAAACAGGTTATATAACTAATTTCAGGTTCCTATAATTATTATTGATTAAATAACTGTACCCAAAAGAGCAAGGTATTGGTCTGAATCAGGCAAAGGACAATAAAAATTGTCTTCAAAGCAACCACTCCTCTCAGTTGCAACCACGTCAGGTAATTTCTTGTCTGACCAAGGATCAAATGACATGACTAATAATTCGATAAATGGCTGCCTGCAAAATAAAAACGTTAACACTTTTAATCTATGTTAATACACGATCAAACAGCTAAATCATTCAGCACTATAACCATCTTCAAAGGTACGTAAACGTTACTAACCTATACGTCAACTGACGAAGACTTTTCAATAATTCACTTAATTTAAAAGAAGAATGAAAATGATGCGATTTATAATTTAATCGCTTATTTAAAGAAAAAACTTCGTGATGAATTTTATATAGAATTAAAACGAGATTATCTTAGTAATTTCATGTTCCTCCCCCTCCCGTAATTTTATTTATTTTTTTAATCAAAAGTAATTGTTTTATCACATCTCACTATTTATTTCTGAAATAATAATAGACAAAAATAAACATTAACTGAAAATGCCATTATTAATTATAAGTAGGAGTCTAAACAAATGTGTTATGAAGATAAAAGAGACATGATGAAACCAATTATGATATAGAAAACTATTTAACGGTTTTTAAAATGCATAATCAATTTTTTAAATTCTAAAGATGTTCATTTTCTGCTAATGTTTCAATTCTGGTTTAATGTATTCTTCTGTAGGATATATTCTTCAAATCTATAATGAAAAAATACCTCCAAAAGCAACTCAAATTTAATTTAGAGTTATTGATTTGTTTAACAGTAAGAAATATATATATATATTTATGTAATTTGAACTGCTCAAAAACACTCATAAAATAAATATTAGATCTGTGAATGACCTACATATTTTCCATAATACTACTGATTTGAACCTTTAAAAATATATAGTTAGCTTTATACTCTCTTTGCAATATTAACTTAATTATATTAAAATTAATTTGTTTTTCCTTTTCTAAACTTCAAATTACTAATAATAGCAGGATCAAAATGGAATTTAGTCGAGCATGTATACACAAAAAGAAAATTAAAACTTGAAACAAAAGTGTTCTTGTCTCATAAAAGAAGAATTTTTGTAAATTCTTTGCAATGAACTTATTGCCTGCCGTCGCCCTTCCCCGGTTAAGTACACAGAACTGGTCGAGAAAAGAGCCTTTTATTTTGTCATAGGCATTAAAATAGTGGTCCTAATGTCTGCAGTTTGCAGATCTCTGTCTATTTTTAATTTATTAAAATTAAAATTTCAAATTTGAGTTTAAATACTTGATAAGTAGTATACTGCAGTAATGCCAAACATTGTCTTGAAAACAGGCAATTCCAGACATTAAATGAACAATTCAGTTGACTATACCAATCTATGATAGGAATTAATTCTTATCAAAGTAGATATTTCCTTGTTGGACACAATGAAAATAAAATAAAATTATTATATGTATCATATATCATAATTGATTGAAATATCGATGTTCATACAATCCTTTTTTTTTTTTTTTACTGTTTCTTCTTCCTGTTTCTCTAATAATTTATTTTTAATGTTCCTACAAGAACAATATTTAAATGTTGTATACAATGTCAATATGTAATTACAACTCCCTACAGAGCTGTAATGCACTATCAAAGAAACATAACAATCATTTAAGGTATTCAAAACTAACAAATCAATTTTCAAAAATGGGAAATATTTTTACAGGAATAAAATAAACAATGCAATCACATCAACACATATATTTAGCATTTCAAATTTTACACATTGATAAAAAATATCAAAATTTAGTTGTTTTGTAAGAAATATTCTTAAAAAAATAAATAAAACATCTTTGAGTATATTTTTGGAGAAAAAAAATTTAGTCTTATGATGTTTAATATCAGACACAGATATCATAAATATATTATAGGAATAGATGATATCTTAAGAAGACCGAACCACTTATACCATAATAAGTACTCACATTGCATTTTTCCTTATTAACTATGAGGAATAGAAACATGGCTTCAATGATTACTTGATACCATGATTATATTACATCCCGAAGAATTCTCTATTATTAGAGAAATCAAGGTCATATTCCACTCATAAAAAATATCCTTACAATTATAAGCCTTGAGACTGCGTATCACGCGTCTGTTCATTTCTCTACCTTTCCTCATAACCAGCGCATTTGATAATATTAAATAATAAATAAATATATCACATATATAATCCATGTATATTTAAACTAATCAAATCACAGTGTAAAACAATATATAAAGTATCAATGATATTTTGAACTGTATTTCAGATAACAGTTCCTGAACAGTAAAATGCATTAATTCACAAAACAGAGTCCTGAAACAACAGTCTAATGCTCTCTGGCAAATTTTGTGCACAGCATGATAGTTTGCATTTCTATATGACAGTTATGAAATTCTTATTAAGTTCTATAAAAAATAATAGCAAACTACACTGAAGTATACTACAAGCATTATAGTTGCTTACAATAATAAAATCAAAATATTCTCTAAATATACTTAGGTTCTAAAGCTTTAGCTCTAAACAACCATCTTGGTCCATTCAGTACTTAAAAATTTCATTTATAATTATTACACACTAACAATAATAGTTTTAAGAACTGCATTTCCTCAACTTATTTTTTTAATTTTACTTAAAACCATCATATTGATGGATACTTACAAATGATGGAAAATGGATTAGAATAGACATTCACTAAAAATTTTTATAGTTATATTTAGCAATTTATCAAATCAAAAGGATTCTATATCTAACGCTGATAACCGCTAAAATATTTTAACTAATTCAAATTTTAGGGGAAAAAGAAGACTGTAACCAAAAGTATTTAAGTTGTTAGAAGTTCATTTCGAATTAGATCTAAATAAAATTAATTCTTTAATAGATCATTTCTAAAATCTGATCAATTATGGTTTTAATTAAAATTAGGAATAAACAATAGTACACAGACCTAAATTTAATTTTTTTTTTATTAAAGATGAGAATGTTCAATAACAATATTGCTGAACATTTTCAAATTAAAAATTAATAAATAAAAAGACTTATTTAATTTATTCAATTATTTCATGATTTTAGTTTATTTTTATTTTTGGAGAATTTAAATAAAAATCTAACTTCCTTAATATAAGGAAACAGTTCTGACTAGTTTGATGACCTATGCATTATTTTAACTGCTTCATCAAATAGTTGTGAATTTCATCATCTTTTCATTTTGTATTGTTCTAACTTTAAAAATCAATTAATTTATGATCATATAATAACTAATCTACAAAATATTTAATTGGAATTTAAATGGTCTCTGTAAAAAATTAAAATCTTTGTATGAAATACAGAATTACATGATCTATATTCATCAAAATAGTATTTTATTTTTTAATTAAAGTTTATCGTGTACAAAAATGTTTACCACATATAATATATTTTTATTTTTTCAAACAGAAATATTTACCAAGAGTTATAGTAGGTTTCCGACATTATTTTCATTTATCTCTATTAGGAGGTAAAACACTTACTCTAATAGTTAATATCCACCTGATAACTCCTAAAATATATACTCAGGAGAATATGCAGACATTATGAAGCCTGACATAAAAGTGATAAATTATATCAATTATGGACTAAATCTAGTTTTTTTTAGTAAATTATACCACCTCTGTAAAATTACCTACCCATTTTAGAATAAAAATAGGTCTAAGTTATATTTTAGGCCATTCATAATTTATAAATACACATAATTATTATTAATCACAATGAATATTGATATTAATAATTATAATGATTAAAGTTTGACAATTTTTTAAAAAAGATTTTGCAATGTCGAGACCAGTCGATGGTCAACATATAAACAAAACAATAACTTATGGTTTTTATTAATGTCCCATCCGACATCTTAGCACCAACTTCTAAAAGTTAAAAAGCCATGTTATAACAACAGGCAATAATTGAAATACGAAAGGGAAAAAAATTTAATTTAGTTCCAGAATTCAAAAAAGTTATTAATACAAACAAAACTGTTAGCATAGATCAAATGTTAAGGTAGGAAATAGTATTTAGTTTACCTATTTAATGGAATAAGGTTATTTAGAAACTAATGAATTCACTTTTATTTAATTTTAATACAGTTGTGAAAATAATCGACAAGATATGAATTGGAGTTATGGATAATTATAAATATATATATTTTATCTCTTTTTCTATTTTACTTCAATGGCCCACCATTTCTTATAATTTTAAAGAAAAAAATATTTATATTTTTAACTTTTAAAGTAGTGTGCAACAAACTTGGCGTATTTGGTATACCTATTGCACAGGTATTACACTTTTAAGGGTTTTATTGTATAACAACTTAGTCCCAGCCGATGAGAGAAAATATTAACCCTTTCTATTCAATTCATGCTACTTTAGAAATAAATTTATATTATCACATAATTCCATATAATCGGCAACATGACATTTTAAGACTCATTTTCAATTTTTGCCATAGCCATTTGCCTGTGAAATATAGGTGTAAAAATTATGAGTTCTAAAACATTTAAAGATATCTGTTTTTTTATAATCCAGTAAAATTTATTCTTTAAATTATACTGTTGTTAACAATTATGTAAATAAATCACCTACCAAATCACTCTAAAAATATCCTCAATATTAAATGTTTTATTATTCAAAAATATTTTTCGGCTGTTTTAACTTCATTTTTATTACTGAAATTGCAACATCCGGTAGAGTATATATTGAGAGTTTAAAAAAGCTGTCCAAGCATAAATATAATATCTACATTTTGAAACAAGCAATTTAATTTATTTTTTAAGTAAACCATAAACAATTGGAAATACAATTTTAATAAACAAATATGTCCCCTAACTTAACTAATAACTGATTACATTATGATAAATATTTGAATAGTATTATTGCACACTAAGATTCTTTCTATAAGAAAGAAAAGTATTTGCCTTTGAAAAAAATATTAACGTAACTAACTCAAGCAAATTATGACTACATTCATTATGAAAAGAATGTTTTAATTGTTATTATTATTTGGGGGTGGATTACCCTTTTGCAATTTAAACAATAGTAGATTTAGAAATAATTTTATTATAATTTATGATTATAATAGTGTTTAGAACCGCAACTAAATGAAATTGATAAGCATTTTAATAATTTTCTATTTAGTATTCTTTTTTTCCCCTTAATTATTACGAAACCACATGAAAAGCAAAAGAAATAGAAGAGTACATTTAACCAACCACAGCAATTAAACACTGCCTCTATAACCATTGGAATGAACTTTTTGTCTTGATGTATTAAACATTATAAGGCAATACCTCAAAATTATTAATAATATATAATATATTTGTTTATCATACAAAATGTCTTACTAATATAATTTTATATTATACTTAAATAGTAAAAATAATCTTTTAAAAAATAATTGGGCTGTTTAATGCCTCTTAGGTATATTTTTTACAATGAAAATGTTTCAGAGTTTTGGATTTTTATAAGAATTCATGTATTCTTTAATTTTTATCAACTATAAATAAATTATTTTCTCATATTTTTCTAATTTTGTTTCCGTAAGAATTCAATTAGGAACACCTGCCTTCTTCATTAATCCCAAGGAACTTATTTAATAAAAGAAAATATGATAGAAGCGATTAAAAAAAAAAAAGAAATCCCTTAACTTAAAATTTAATTTTGTATAATAATATTATTTACAAAAAAGAAAATTGTTGATTACGAAATTTCAGAAATATCTTTCATTAAATGAAAGATACCTAATTAATTCAAATTATTCGTTGCTCAATTATATTATTTTTTTAAAATAAATTAAATATATCTTGGACAGAAAATTGCTATCAGACCTTTGTAATTTTTTTTCTTTGTAACACAGACTAATTTATATAGCTAATATGCCCATGTATAAAGCCATAAAAAAAAAAAAAAAAAAAAAAACAGACCCATTTATTCTTTAATCTTTAAAAGAATCTCAGAATCCATAATTATAAATAACTGAATTAAATGAACATGTTGCAGAAAAAAATAGACTATTACTTAAAAAGAAAGCCCCTGGCCCATGACCAGATAAAAAGATATGGCCCTCCTTGGAGCAGAGTCCAGTAGAACTCTAACGTTTTAAAACGGTATCGAATCTTAAGATAATGCCTTAATACACAGATATTTAGCCATCCCAATTTCAAGCTGTTGCTAATAATTGAGTGCAAAATCAACAAAACTGTGACTATTCACTAAGCAAACATGTTTTTTCAGCTGCAAGCATCACTTTTTGAATATGGGGAGGGCTGTTTCCAACCAAGCTTGGTGCCAACGAACAGATTGGAACTCCTTTATGCCCTTTTCAAACTTTTCAAGTCTCAGCTTCGGAAACCCTGAGAACCAATCGATCAGCATTGAGGACAATTGGACAGCATCAGAGAACACCAATCCATTCTCTCCATTTCTCACTAATTCGCCAACACTAGACAGAAATAGACATTATTATTACACAAAAGAATTTTTAAAAATAAACCATTTATAATAATAATTTAACAACACATGATTGTCAGTTTTGGTATATCTTAAAATAGAAATAGGTTTTGAAGAATTTAATCTATATAAATCGAGCAATTTTAACAAAACTAACTAAAATAAATTACTCTATAAATATAGTTAATTTTCTAATGCCATTGAATTTTAAATATAACTTACCATTTAAAATCATGAGCAAAAACTGGCAAGCCACAGCCAAACATATCAACAACTTTCATGGGAAGATCAAGACCGGATGAAGACATATGGAGGGAGACACCCAAATCAGCTGATCCAAGCAATGTCGGATAGTCAGCCTCTTCAAGCCAAGGAGTGATAATAGAAACTCTTTTCCATGTAGTAGCCTGTATTATACCAATGTAGTAATCTTTCAATGGGCCTCTTCCAGTAATGGCACAGATTAGTTGAGGTATATCTTTCCTATCCGATTTATCATAATCTAATGAACAAAAAAAAAAAATTAAAAAATAACTACAACTCTAAAGAACAGAAAATTATATAAGTATTCCAAAAATGAAGGTTAATACCAATAAGAGCAGAGAAAAGGATATTAAAATCCTCATCCTCAGTCCAAGACGTTGAAGATACAAGAAGTGCAGGCCTGTCTTCTCTTAGTTCAACTGTACCATCCTCCCGAAGCCTGGTAAACAGTGTAGAATATGCTGCACCACCAAGAAGAGGATACCTGATTTTGTAAAATATAGATTTAAAAATTAGGATACCTATAATTAGATAAAAAATAGTATTCTTAAATATGACCAATATATTTATTTTTAAAAAATTTGAAAAGTCAAAGAAAGGCATAAATTAATTTATAGTTTAATATTACCAACATAAAGCCTTGATTCTCATAAATAATGGTGAATATCTAACCAGTTACACACAATACACAAAATTAAAATTTAATTTTAACAATTTCATTGCGAGAATTGTTGTTTTTATTTTTTGTATGCCCCTTGAGGTGGGCTACTACAGTGTAAAATCTGCTTCTTGAGATTTAAAAATTCGAAATACGTATATTAACATACTTCATTTCAAATAAATGTCTTCTTACCTTTGACTTAGTCGGGTCAAAAGATTGTGAGTTTCCTCAAGAGTAGCTCTTTTGAATTCAGACGGGGCTCTGTCGTGTAGTACTCTTGAACTAAACCAAGTATAATTCATTAATGATCATATAATAAAATCATGGAAAAATTATATTGATATTATAAATTTCATCTCAAAATAAAAATCAAATTCATGCTACAGAGTAAAATAAAACATTGAATTTAAGAATAAAATGAGTAAAAAAAAACAACTATAAATAGAAATCAGACAATATTTATAACCTTAGTTGCCATAATTCTTGAAAACATAGTTTAAGAATGTACTGGTTTTTACAAATTAAGCAAGTTTGAATTAATTTGATATAAATTAGAAGAAGCATACTAATACTGAGGTCTTATTTAAAAACTAAATAGCATACACAGATCATAATTTTTTTTTTCTTCTTTGACAAATTTAGGTGAATGCTGCAGTTAATATAAAATAGTTAATAACATTTCAATGCTCAACTAAAATTCTGACAACTAAATTTTATCAAGGTTAAATGCCGTAAATTATGATCTAAATTAAATAAATTATCAAAATCTCATTCAACCTATTGCAGCAGAGGTGCCTTTCCCTCCCCCCTGCCATGGCTGAAAGGGTCATAACCCCTCTCAAGAAATTTGATTGCTCTCCTCTTCGTAAAAACAGTGGAAGCAAAAGAAGAATTTTAAAAATTCTAGATCATATACAATTACATTTCCTGTGTCTGTTCAATGTTTTTGCCCCTTGGCATTATTAATCATATCAAACAACAAATCAAACTTATAGTATTTTAGATCTTTATAGGATAAAATCAAAATCCAGTTTGAGTAACAGTATTTTAGGCATTAATTCTATTCCAAATTTTTAATAAAACATCCATCTTAACTAAAGTTAGATTCACAATATTGGCGATATTTTAAATTTTGTGAATCATATATATATATATTTACATGCAACTTTCACTCTATTTAATATGTAGATATATGGTTTATACAAGATCAATTGCTGGGAACGGAAAATGTTTAAGTATTCAAAGACAATTGAAAAAAAAAATAACAAAAAACTCTGATATCTGAAGCCTTCATAGGCAAGGACAGTAGTAACACTTATCAGCAAGTCTTTGTCTTTGAACTCTTTAGGTATCAGCAGAACTTATTTCCCCCTTTTGTCAGTTGAGAGTGAATGATGTAGCATACTTATTAGAAACAAAATCATTTTTAATAAATATTGGAAAGAGATCGAGATATTTACAGTAAAAGTTTAAAAATAAATTTTTGTTTGTTGAACTTACATACGTTTGTTTTTCCAGGAACATAGCTTTCCAATTAAAAAAAATTTTTTTGGTGAACAGTTGATGATTGAAGCATAACAAAAATAAAAAATTTAAATATAAAGCGTGTTACTTTTTTCAATATATCTCTGAAGAAAGGCAAAATCCATCAAAAATATTATTCACATTCATAAACTTTTACCACGTTTTATAGAAATTTAAAGTTGACTCTAATTCAATAAGTGATTTACATTAAGAAAAAAGGGAAAGAATTTATATTATTATCGTGAAATAAATCACAGCTTCAACCTGAAAAAAAAACTACCATAACAACTAGGCAAAACAATGCTATTGATAGGCTCAGCGCTGAGTTCAGGAACTTACAAAACATTTCACACATTTAAAATATGGAAAAATAAAAAGGAAAGAAATATATTGCCAATTTTATATGACAAAATCTACAAATTCTTATTTTGCTATCTATCTATAGATTTATAACAATGTATAATAACCACTAGCTAACATTAAAAAATTATCACTAAACACATTTTTAAAATAATGAATAGTTTGTTGTATTAAAACCAGATGGTAGCTAAATATTTTCAAGGGACATCCTAAAGAAATATTTCAAATTTAGATATAATTAAAAAAGTTTAAATTTGGTAGATTATTTACATATTATTATGATTAATTCATTAAAGGATAAACTAGAATAGGGAAATTTTAAATAAAGATACATTTATATAATTAAAAAATATTACAAATTCTATAACTTCATTATTTCCTTTAAAATGGAATGGTAATTAAAAACAAAATCCAAAATAAATTGCTTACTATGATTATTGTTTATATATTTATGAGTATTATTTTATTAGTTCTAATGTAGACCAAGTAAATTCTCTCATTCTTAAAAACTTGTATTGTATTAGTTATATATAATACCCATAACATTAAGCCGGGTTTTAACATTTCACAAGCTATGGAAAACACATTTATCTAACTTAACTAACAGTGACATTATTGTAAAACCAAACTATTTATTTTATTTCTCTTGATACCGACAGCAGATGGAAAATATTTAAAAAAAGAGACAAAAATACTAGCATAGTGAAATACCCATTTATATATTTGTTAATCCCTCAGTTTGTGAAATGTCTAAACGCACCTTAACAAAACTAGAACAACTCAGAGCAAAATTGTAGCTTCCTATTTTTTGTATAAATTCTATAAACAATCATTCCAATCTGTTTGTTAATATGAAATAACCACTAAAAAAAATATAGTGTTATGGTATACTATTCTGTAATAAATTATAGCATTGTTTAAACAATTTGATAAGAAGCTATATAGAAAAAGAAATGTAAGGTCAAAGCTTGAAATATTGAACTTATGAAGCAATTTCCAACCTTACTAATTTAATAACTAGATTGATTTTTTGTTTTTCTTATGTAGTTTGATTTATTTTAGAAGATGAATTTATCAATATACAACTACTTTTCAAAACCACAATAGTTCCTGGACAACCACTTCCTAAAAGATAACCGATTATTTAAAAATCCCTGAACTAGGTCAAAACAATTGCATTCGTGGTGCATTTGGTGACGAGGTATAGCAGGCAGTTTTACAACACTACTGAAGGTAATTAAAATTAAAACACTCATTTCATTATTTAGTAGATGTTTTTAAACCGAATGTCAATATAAATTAGTAATCTTACAATAAATTCTGTCATTAATATATAATTAGATAAACAGCAAAAAATTGCATTTAACTGTAATAACAATGTAAGTTTAAATAATTTAAATCAAATCGTATCAGCAATCAACATTAAAAATTCATTTTACATTAGATTATAAAAGTCATAGTAATCATCCTATTAACCTCTCCAGTACCTTTCTATATTAATTTATAGTTCTTCAATCTTAGTCACATAATTTTAATGTCTAGTTCAATTTCGGCATCGCTATAACATAATAAGGCAATCAGTCTCAAATCTTGGAAGTTGTGCCAACATTATCCAGAGGGTTATTCATAACAAAAAATGTATTTTTAATGTGAAATATCTTACATAGAATCATATAATTTTATTATATTAGAAATCCCTCTCCTTTATAAATCTCTCAAAACACTCATGGTCAGCATTCTTTGCATATTTGTAATAGTGAAGAGAGGAGTTCCTAATTTCAGAGAAAAAAATAAAATTTATTTTAAATTTTCTTCTTTCCCTGGACAAAACCACCTAAATTGTAACCTCCGTCAACTTCTTCATTCAAATATGCCATTAAAATAAAGGAATTTAAAAATTATTGATGATTATAATAATGACGGAACAAATAATAATAAAATACATATATTTACTTAAATTGTCATGCGGCATTAAAATAGTGGGTACAGCCGAATCTAACCAATCAACACCAGATGGAACTGAACCCCACCTGATTAAATCTAATTATGTGGTGTATGATATTTTAACAATTTTTTTTCTCTAAAATACATCCTTTTCTTCATCTTAATTTTAGTTTCAATACTACATAATGTATGTATAAATCTAAATTTTTGATCTATCAACTGAGATAGGATAGAGAAATCATTATTTAATATTAAGGAAGTGTAAATCCAACTTGGCCTAATGGCCTCTTACATTTTTTGACATACTCCTTGCTAAATTAAACTATTAGTTTACTATATTAAAAATATTTTGTTTTTTAAATCTGTGTGGATTAACCAGATATCCTGACAATTCGGTTCTGGATTAGCATGACTTTACTGTATATTACTGAATATTTATGAGTCTCCCAAAACATAATAATATAAACATAAATACATTATAAAGAAACATATGGTCTAGAGCGGAGGTCATAAAATAACTTAAAATAGTGGTAACTATTTATATATATTTGTGGTTATTTTAAGATCCCCACACCAGACCATCTCTTTCCTTGTTATACAATGGTCAACTATTGAGTATCCAATAAATATACAACATTTGTGTTATAATATGGCATGTGTATATTAACTCAATCACACTCTTATTTAAGCTGTATGTTAAACTTACACTATAGCCCATCTCTCTATAAGATCCATCCTCATGGCATTAGTTACACACAAGTTATAAGCTGCCTTTTGTCCAAAGTAGCATTCAAACCAATACGAGGCACGAACTATAAAACTTCTATCACCTAATGTTAAGGCCATCAGTGAATATGCATAGTTATGCCAGTCGATAACAAATGTTGCAGCTACAAGTAGACTGTACAACCAGGCCACAGCAAAAACTGGGATGGCAGGCGGCGTTTGAACGAAAACAAAGTGTGAGCGCCTCTTAAAGAGGAGAAAAAAGAACAAGCTTATGCTCTGCCATATAACTTTAAATAAGTAGGCAAGAATCCTCGGAAGATCTAAAAATAAAGATAAAAACAATAATAAACTATACCTATTGATATGTTTATCAATTATATATAATGTAATTTCAGAATAAATATACTAAAAATAATTTTTTATAGGCAAAAATTTGTAGGGCAAAATAATAAAATACATGATTTCTACAACTACATTTATATTAAAATTACCAGGGCTATAACAGATATGATATTACTATAATAAAAATGAAAAACCATTTTTATCTTCTTTGAATTTGCAGTGGTTGTAATGTTCTTTGATAGATTGTATATTAAGTAAAACTTTAAAATGGAATATTATAGCTCTATTTTATTTAAAGATTTTAAGAATAATGGAAAAGGCATGAAAACATTGAGAAACTGCAGAAATATAATAGAAAACTATCATGCAATAAAATGTATTAATTTATTCTGTTCATTTTTCCTAATTTTGGTGTCTTGAAGTTTTTTATTTTTTACAATAAATTAGGCCAATTATCACTAACATTTTATTGATACGCATTAATTTTGACTTTTCGACCATACTAAGGGTCATTTTCAAATCTTGATGAGTCCTCCGTTATATGTTCATCATTAATGTTGTAATTAATATGTTCAGTGAACATTAATTTGTCAAGTTATATAGGGGTTTCGCCTACGTCATTTCTGGAGGGACTGATGTCATTTCAGTAACAACATATAACGGAGGACTCGTCAAGATTTGAAAATGACCCTTAGTATGGTCGAAACGTCAAAATTAATGCGTATCAATAAAATGTTAGTGATAATTGGCCTAATTTTTTGTAAAAAATAAATAAAAAAATATATTAATTTAATTGTAAAAATAATGGCTAGTATAATAGAGATCTTGGTACTAGTTTCAAAGAGCTACTCCAAGATGGCAGCTGGATAAAAGATAACCCTGTTCATGAAATTCCGGAAGCAGCCAAATTATTCTAAAATTAGATGGAGGCCATCAATCTCCAGACTTTCTTCTTCTACTTCTTTTTTTTTAATGGGACAACTCTTGGAGAGTCAGGACCTCATGCACTACGATCGGCCAGTTATTTCTGATGGCTGCTGCTGTCTTCCAGTTACAAATGCCCAAGATAGACCTTGCATTACTGCACACTTCATTCATCCGTAACAACTGTCATAGAAATTAATGGTGTAGAGATGGTTGACCGTGATATAATATGAGGAGTTGGTCGGGGGATGCGGTCAAATAAATACTAAATTTTTGCAATAGTACTTTAATTATTTCGCCCTAGTCATAGAAATTAGTTATAGAAGGTAATCTGAACAGGTATTTCATGAATTATGCTTATTAATACAGATTGAGGATTTCAACAACAATAAATAATCCTAATCACCCTTACATTGTGAATAACCTAACCTCCTAACCACAAATTTATATATTTGTGAGCACACATCTGTCAGGGTAGAACATAATTGACAATAATTGACTATTTTTTATGTTAGTCCAGATTCTAGCTACTGTGTGATAAATATTATCTTGTCCCAGCCACCATATTGGATTAGTATTCTAGAACTATTATCAAATATTCTTAACAATATAGGAACTATGTGGACCAATACTTTAATTTATTATTTTTCTTAGTAATTAATGGATCTAGATTGTAAATCACTTTGTACCATATTAAAGGCGGTAGTTCCGTATCATTACTCCAAGGTAACAGGTGGTTTCAAGATCACTTTGGACACACTAAAAATAGAATCCTGAAATAAACTGAACGTGTTTGAAAGCAGACTTGGATGACTGAAAACACACCTTTTCAAGCAGAATGTTTACGATATGTTAGATCACTAAAGGCACTAATACCTCAATTTCTTTTTATATATAAATAACAATGTGAAATGACTGATCGCAATATTTTACAGCTTTTCACCTTTTAATAGATAATAAACATAATTTTTATATTTACGATAATCAATATTCTCTGAAACTATATTGAATCCATATATCATAGTTAGGAATTCACTAATATTAATTAAATTGAAGCAATTCTGTCATTAAAATTAAATTCATATTTCTATATTATAATTTTGGGCAATTTCTGTCATCTTGAAAAATGATTTCTCTCAATAAATCACCGTAAATTATCTAAATTCATTTTAGATAAAAATATGTTGTTATGACATATATGTCATTGTATGAACACATTCGATGTGTGATTGTCAATTTACTTTCAGCATTCCCCAGAATTCCATATACAGTATTCTCAGTGGTATTAAGCCAGACTTTATCTCGGAGAAGCGATTCGGAAATAGCACCCGATTCAATCCTTCATACACGTTAAAAAATCTTAAATAAATTTTGGGTCATATAAGCCTCAAGTGTAGCCTGAATCTAAAACAAAAATATGTTTAGATCTGCATCAATTTATTTTTTTTTTTATCTATCATATAAGCACTACTTTTAAGAATGTTTTCTAAGTAAAAAAATATTTTTTAAATTTAATTGTTCTTTATTCAAATTACACTTGAGGGTCAGGGCGATCATACTGTGACAACTTGAGAGGTAGTAATGAAATTTTAAATACACTGCAATACAAGTTAAGCAAGCAAAAGACACACTGCCATTAATCTGAACAAAACCCTTCATGGGGGACTTGATAGATCCCAATATAAGAACTAAATCCATATTTCCTTACTACCCATAAACTAAACTCTTATCAGGAATGATAATAGACTTTCACACACTTACATTTGTTGACTTCAGGCACAGGAGGCAAATAGGCAATTGTGATATTATTATTGCTAAGCATTTGCTTCTTGGGCTTAGCTCCCCTATATCCGATGACATTAACATGGTATCCTTCTTCTGCTAACGAAATGCAGTGATATTGCAGTCTTGGACTCCTTCCAATGTCCGCTAATCCAACCACACATACGTTCTTCGGGGCCATAACTGACGGACTGAACTAGCCAGGGAATGCTATGGCAATTCTCCAGTCTAACTTTAGCAATTGACTCCGGTGTAAGTTAAAGCCATGGGTCAATGGCAGAATAAATGAACTTACAACACTTCACTGATAACAATCGTACCCTCCCCGGCAGGTGCTTTCATAAAGCTAATGTTGACATACACACATCGATTTTGAAGTCGATTAATATCAATCGAAAGGGTAAACAAATAAATATAAATTTAAAAAAATATTCAGGTTTTCAAATAAGAAGAGGAGCGCGTTATGATAAATTTAATTCGATTTCAAATAGTACTTAACTAAATATTTCTTTAACATATACAAAAAAAATTACTTAAACTGGTGATTCTATTTTAGAGGGAAGGGCAAATTACTTCTAAATAGGTTTGAAATTGTCAGCTCATTTAATAATTATAGAAATAAAGTTTCTTGCAAAAATAACTAAACTATTGATTGTATGTCCTTTTTTTTATCAGACTATTGGGCTTAAAACATGTTTATGTAATTGATCAATAATGTTCTACTTGTTATTTGGTTACAATATCACCACGACGAATTTAATAAGTCAATTTTTTAAATAAATAAGTCAAGTTCAAAGCTTTGAATAAAAGACTCTCACCGACAAGTCTGCAATAGAAAATTGCAAGTCGAACCCTTTTCAATAGGATTTTTGTAAATTGTTATTAATAAAAACAATATACCAGATAAATTATTTACTCCCCTAGTTTTCTAGCTAAGGAAAGTAGAAGGACTAATGTAAAGCCTGAGTATATTTTCATTATCAGCTCTTTTTACTGTGTCAAGGTTTCAGATCTTTATAACCTGTTGTTCCTCAGATAAGTAAATATTTGAAATAACTGCTGTGTAAATTTTTAGCTTTATAGGCTCCAAACATAAATTTAAACCTCGACATTGACATAAGTACCATTGACATTGGCCCTTTTAGTACGCAAACAAAAGTTGACAATAAGAAGCCAAATATTTAACAAAACATTTGTTTTTCCTTTTATTCTCAATATTCATCTTTAAAAATAATAATAAGAGTATGCTTGGAAAAATATAATAAAGGAGATCTTCAATGCGCATTAATAAAATTAATTGAAACTAAGGCAGTCCGTCATTCGCCTCGGTATGTCCGAACATTACGTGCAATTCTTTAAAAATATTCAGTTCTTCACTGATTAATGTTTGTAAGGATATATCACCACATCGTAGTACAGTCGCTATCGTAACAACTGAGTTGAGCATGACTGATTCCAATGTTCCGCCATTTTAAATCGTCCTATTTTAATTTAATAGAACTCATTTATTTTTTTTTAAATAGTCATTGGGATTGAATAAGTATTGCTCTACACAAGGCATGAAACCTATAAAAGCCGCCATACACGATCAGACCAATCTTCCAAATGGGCGGATGTCACACCATTGTATAATCTGTGGTAAAACTGATGTGGATGTAATGAACTAACAGGATTATTTAGATATCAGTTAAATATCAATCAAGGTGTTTTTTTGTGGCAATGCCGATTCATTAAGCTCTCATTTTGAAGATCTCCTTGGGGTGAAAAAAATAGTCACATCGCCCAGAAATGTAAGGGGGAAAAGTTATGAAGGAAAAGAAACTTTATTCGCGAATAACTCAAATAGTATACATTTTTTTCTGGATCGTACCCATGATTAGTTGAAAGATTTCTAATTCTCTACAAAACAAAATTAATCATAAAAATCGGACAACTTTTAGCAAAGATACAGCCCGTTGTATGTACACATGTTTTTGTTTATGCAATAATGTTTCCATTAAGAAAAATAAATAAAATTTCGTCTATCTTATTATACATTGCACTGACTTATCGATATTATATTGTCCTTTGTTAACTAACCAATATACTATGCGAATTATTCGCACGGGCTGACTAGTTCAGTAGTAATATACAACAGACCTCACAAAAAAGATTTATATCATCTCTTTATTGCATCATTTAAAGACTTAATTAAATCCATTGTGATCATTAATTAGTAAGCCAATAATATTGTAGTCATGGGCACATCTTCGATTTTTATACCAGAGGGAATCACGATTCAATTCGTGTTATTGAAATTTTAAGAGAAAAATTGAAATAATTTATCAATTTTTTGTTGTCCTTAGTATGAAAATCAATGGTGGTGCATTTCTTCCTGCTTCCGCAATGTTGTAAACTTAGCATCTTTGTTCATTGAGAACAATTGACCGATTGTAGTTTGAAAATTCCGTAAAAAAAAATTGTTATGTATTATTTTTCTGAATTTGACACCAATTAGATTTTCATATACATGAAAAATGAGTTTTGATCAAACAAAAATAATGTTCGAAACATTCAACAAGTAACGAGTAAAATGTAATTAAAAACTACACAATTTCATCACCATTAGTATAATTACCTAATTTTGTTTTTCCTTCTCTCAATCCATGCCATACTGTGAAAATATAATAAAACAAAATATTTGGTCACGACTGGAAAATAATCAGTTTTGATGATCGGACCATTCAAACGAACATTATCTTGGATCGGAGTTTAAATATACAAAAGAGTGCTACCAATGGGTAGTTTCTCAACAAGCATGTTTCATGTGATAATATTCCTATGTACACATTTACTTGATGTATTCATACTAATACAGTTATAAATATCATAATAAAAGTTTAAAAAATATATATATATACAAATCGGTACATGTACTTTTTTCAGGACTTCATGAAGCATTGGTGCCAAATTTGAAAAAAAAATCGAACTTCGTATGAATAAATACGAATTTATGAAGCCTGGGACTGGATTAGATTAGTTCTTACATGTATAATGGAATTTTGGAATACTGTGGTTTTGAAGTCATCCAGATTGATGAAACCACTAGCATGACACACAACTGGATGGCTTGCATGGTCGCCATAACGACTACGCTTCTCATCCTAAACGATTGGTTGATACTTCATTAAATTATCATAAAGCAATAATATGACAAATTAAAGGAGACTCTGTTTTATCTCTATTTTCTAACCATTGATAATGAACGTTGGAGGTATTATTTATTTTTATATATATTTTTTCTGGCAACAGTGATCTTGAAGAACATTCAATTATTCAAAAATATAAATAATTAATGGCAAATTAAATATAATCTGTTAACAAGGAAGGAGAATAACATCATTTCATTATGTTAGGTAGATAGAATTAAATTATTTTCACGAAATATGCAAAAATAAAAAATTATATTATACCCTCCATATTTCATGGTTTAAGAAAATGATAAATCACTTAATCTAAAAATGGTTTTCGTAGAGTGTTAAATATTTGAACATTTGAATTTGAAGAAATAATTTTTAATTCGATCAAGGGCTTTAATGCTTAACAAAAAATAATAACTTGTGGTACGAATATAAAACATGGATGTATTTATTATATTATATTTTCAATTAGCGATTATCTCACTAAGTATGATAGTACTTATGCAGTCATTATAAAATGTGTACTTTACATACTCAAAGTAGATGTGATACACTTAATGACATAAATAAAACTATAACTGTAATAACGCACTCCAACTGAGAGTGGATCATGCAAGATACGCGTTGCGACCTTTGGTATCTATGACTGAACAAGGTTAGAAAGGAAAATTCAAATGCTTAAGGGAATCAACGATTCTTAGAGGTATTTTTAAATAACAGTTTTTGTTTAAATCAATTTCTTGAAGCCCTGAAGGCAAATAGTAAAATTTTCTCAACAATTATTTTTTACCTATCCCGATGTTTTTCGCCTCGATTAAAAGGGGGATGGCGTCTTAAGTTACATTTAGTGGTGGTTAACCGAAAATTATATGAATTTACATTTTGAAAAACATTCATTATCCATAGATCATTAAACTCACTTGCAAATGTACTTCCTATTTGTTTTTTCTTTACTAATATTATCATATCGGAATTATATGAAAACATTAAACTTAAGATGAATGATTTGGAAAATTCTATTATTCTATTACTGATCTGAAATATCTTTAATAACTTCCTTAGTCAGTTTGTAAATTTTTAAGTGTAGACATAAACACGTGGATATGTTGTGTGATTCACGTTTTATATCCGTGTTCTTGTAAGTAAAACCTTTGGCTATTTTCCACAATGTTCGTTTCTTACGTTGGGGTCTGCAACAAAATACTTGTTTTATAACAATTTTGTCATCCAACTTTTCAATATTTATCTACATAAGCGTGTTATATTACTTTTGCGATGTCTTTACTTTAATACTTGTCTTTACGTACATAAAAATATAAGAACCTAATTTTATAATTAAGCTAAAATGGAAGCATGAATAGCTAGGCTACCTACTATCTACATTATCGCTATTTTTACATTATCGCCGACTAGATGTTTTTTTTTTTAAACATTGCATGTATTACATAATAACTTACATATATATACTATAAACAATATATATCCCATTAGTGAAGTACTGGAACCTTTAAGTTACGAACAGTTACAGTTCTGTCGTTGTAGCAGCTCTTCATCATAAGCCAGCTTTCGTGAATCATTTCCGAACAGTTCCACGCTCAGACTCGGTTCCATTATTAGTTCTACGTGATTCGTTTCATCTCTAAGCAAGACGATCCCTCCACGCCTAGTGAAGAAATTAAGGTCCAAGGCCACAGAATGTAACTTATGCTTACCGCATAATAAGTCCTTTTACCTTAAAATACCTTTGGGTAAACAATGTATATACACTTATTAGTTAGCATAATTTTATATTGTACTTAATCTAAATAAAGTTTTCTGGAAGGTCAGAAAAAAAAAGTTTCATCCCTAGTTGCTAACTTGTTGATGGATGGGAGCTTTAAGGCGTTACCTTAGCAAAATCGGGTCTAGTGGCGCCGCACAGTGGAATGACCATTTAACTTACTTAAAAAGTTGAGTGGACCGCTCAAATTTTGTTTGTTTTTGTATTTAATGGTTTAGAATATGAATTCAAATTATTTTTTCGACAAGATGAATGCAATGAAAGAAACTACTCTTTTAAAGCATTAAATGTTTTGTTTAAAAATTAATTTAGTAAATATATTCAAAATAGTACACACTGCAACAACATAACTATCTTCTAGTACAGG